AATTTCATGACCAGTAACAGTTTCGGGTACTGGCTCTTTTTTAATAGCATCCGGCTTGCCAGCATTCATTTTACCTTGAGCTTTAGCCATATTATAATCGCCAGAATCAAAATACTTTGGCTAAAAATAAACGAAAAGCAATATTACATTATAAAATATGCGGTGTAGAGAAAGTCTCAATAGACAGACAATAAAGGTTAACATACGGCTCCTCCTTTTGAAAGAAATTTCTTTTGTAACATATTTTGTTGTCGAGGAAGTGCCCCACCATATTTATTTCGTAATTTTTGTTCTTCGCTTAATTCTGGTGTTATACCATTAGTAGTCTAAACAAAAATAAATAAATCACTAAAATAAATAAAATTACAACAGCAATCAACTTACAGCAAACGTCGTTGTGGATGATTCCAGTGCTTCTTCAGCTGTGGCCATAGTGATTATAGCGAAACGCAGAGCGTGAAGTATGAAAAATATTCCGGCAAATCTAAAACAGAATCAAATCAAATTTAACTTTGTGAAAGAAAAGTGTAGAAAACCATCGTTTCTATCTGTACATCAAAACATCGTTCTATCTGTACATTACTCACAGATTTAGTAATTCGGTCACGAAATATGGAGCACTTTTCCTTTTCTCTCTCCGATAAACTCTGTAGACTGTTTGTGATTAAGGAGCTTTCATTTGTATTGAAGTCTTTTGCAGTTTTTCCAATATATGAATAGGCGGTGAGAAAGATGGCTCTAAACTCGCTGAACAATTCTGCAGTTATCCTCTTCGCTCAGTTCCCGCATAGTCCGAAAAAGAACTGAGTTAAATCTGAGTTTGACTGAGCACAGCAGTTATTATTCTTATTTATATTTTCATATAATAAAATATAATATGAATATCCGCTGTAGAGAGTTATGTAGAACAGAAAATTCTATCATTTAGCAGTAGAATGAAATCCTCATACTCTGTCTAAGAGCGAAAAAATGCAAAACCAAAAGTGACCCATTTTACCTGGCTGTAATCAATACAAAGAAAATGTTAACATTATCTGATATCGAACTCGAGAAGCAATATATTTACCAGATGCGACACGTGTTCTTTCTAACTTCGCAATAATATCCGATATCTTCTAGAAGTTGAGAAGGATAATGACAGAACACGTGCCAAGGAAGAGCTAACTCATATTCACACTTTTATTTTTTCTTCAAGTGAAAGCATAGCCTATGTAAAAGAATAGTTTTCTTTTAGTTCAAATATTTGAAAATAAATTCTTCCTTTTCTTCTTCTTTTTCACTTGTAAATAAAAAAAGATCTAGATTTTGGCAACAAGACAATATCAGTTACACAATTCAAAGATGATCATTTCACTTTGATATTTCTAAACTGTAATTTGAACTTTTCTGCAAAACAAATATCGATACAAATGTTGATAGCTAGCATAATTAATCATAACTAACTGGTCGAAGAATTGAAAATATAACTATTTCTAGCAAATCGGTCTGAAGATGATACGTGGACGCGTATGGTAAAATCTGGCAGGCAATTTGCGATTTTAAAACATTCAACCAACAGATAATCGTTTTTTAAGCCGATCGAACGCGATTCTGTCGTATTAGCGATCCGACGTCATTTCAAACAAGAAAAATTCCTGCAAAGTGTCCAAAGAAGAGAAAAGTGATTTTAAAAAGACTCAGTTCCGATTGGAATCAAGTCCACCGTTTGAACGGAAATTTTTTTATCTAATACATATTCGGACAAACCAAAATGGACTTGAAACAGATTTTCGAAGCAGCGATTTGCTATCAAAATAGGTCGTGATCCAAACGCATACGGACTCAGAAGAAATTTCTTGGAATAAGTTAAAATTGGTTGTTTATCATATCACCCGAAAAAAAATAAAATTGCTTTTTCGCATTCAACATACTCGATAAACCCGAAGATTTTCTATTTTTGACGAGGGGTGGATACTTCCAAAAGTTAAGGAAAATTTTTGAAACAAAATGGCACAAAAAAATGTCCATGAGCAAATAATATTAGTTTGACAAATTTTCCTAAACTTTTGGAAGTACCTCTCGTCAACAATAGAAAATCTGGTTTATCGAGTGTGGTGAATACGAAAAAGCACTTTTTAGCAATTTAAAACCAACTTTGGTTTTTTGTTCCGGTGATATGCTTCAGCTTTACTCTTGCAAAATATAAGCGAAAATAAATCTGTTAGAGTCATCTAAAACTTAACCTAATAAAAACATAAAATCAGTTTTGAAAGAATAGAGATTTATCTTTATTTCAGAAAAAAATAAAGTAGAAATCAGAGATTCAAATAAACTTTTCGGTATGTGATCAGTTAGATAGAAAAGATGTGCTATTTCGCGTGCTTTTCTACGTTTTACTAATGCAAATTCACTGGAGAAAAGTTTTCAGTCAAAATGCACACACATTTGAATTTCATTCTCTGTTTTCTAATTCATTTTTCTTAAACAAGTTAGAATTACCGAAACATTTACTATTAGAGCGCCCTCTATTGCGTGAAATAGTAAACAGCTTGTTAATTGTAGTTTCCCCCAAGGAATCAGTATAGGAAATGAAATGCAAGTGTATGCTTGTTTAAAATAAAAGCTTTCCTTCGGTAAATTTGCATTGAAAAAAACGAAAAGTATATGAAATAAGCCTATCCTTTCCATCTTATCACATACCCAACCCTCAAAATGAAGACCACAATACATGTATTAACTTTATTTAAATCATATACAAAATGACGACATGATGGCAAATATGCCAGTAAACAATTAACAAATTCAACAGAGTTCGGTTAAAAAGAATGATTGTTTGCTATAAATTACGGAGTTTTTATAGTTCTTGCGCGTTTCTAGTGCTTTTTGGTTTTCTTTTCTCTGATTTGTTCTGAACATGAACCACTAAACTGGTTTGTGACTACTAGCAAGAGGTCGGATCTCATAACATTTGCAGAAGCTACTAAAATCCCTTGTATAAGGTCCTAATGATATGAAGGAAGCACTGTTTTCTTTAATTGCAGCGATTAAGGATTAACGACTAAAATGATTAAAGGCTCCTACCTTCTTTTAATGTTCCTCCTGATTGGATCCCTGTCATTACATGAAATTTGTAAAGGTATAGAGAAGTAAAAATTTTAAACAATCAAATAAATAAGACTCATACTTTAAATTACGGTGTGATGACCCGTAATTACGATCGTACCTACAGGCACCATTTTTAGAAAGATTACGATTTTATTATGAAAAATTGCGAAAATGATGGATTTTATGACGTAATTATGCCATAATGAGTCTACTGCGCCGTAGCCTATAAAAAATCGAGGACATGGGGAAATAATTTACTAAACTATTTTGAACCTGGGGGTCGTATCACAAAAGTTCTTCGTTATGTGCACTTACGTGCTAATTTTACACATTTAAGCCTGACTTAAGTCTAGTCTTAGTTAAGTCGGTGACTTAAGTTTTTTCGTGATACGACCCCCTGAATCTAATTCTCGACTGACGTACTCTGAGGATGAACAGACACTTCATTTTCCGTGTAGAGTTGGATAAGTCTCACTCTTTTATAAGATTTATCGAACAGTGCAATACAGTCTGCATCATTTCTTCACATCTATTTCGTCTCATAGCAGGATTTCAGCTGTTTCTCGTTATTTATTCTAGTTTATTTTTTATTAGTTGTACATATTATTAAGGGCTATGACTAGTTAAGAAATCTTCAGAGTCTTTTGTCATGTGCGCTGTCCGAGAGCCGTTTTGAGACATGAGTTGTAAATAGTTACTTTATGTTAAAACTGTTATTTTAAAATAGCAAGTTTGCAAAGAGAAGTGAACAGTAGGTAACATAGAAAAGTCTTTGGGCTTTGAAACTCCGATTATGCGAACTTTGATCTCTGTCTAGCCAACTGACATTGAAATTCTCTATCACAGTCACATTGTTAAGATGTGCGTGTGTATGAGAGAGATCTCTACATTGACTGCCTCTCACATATTCATCAAATTTTGTATACTAAATCTTGTTTATTTTTAGAACATTTCTTTTCTCTCGCAATCTTCACAATTCACTGAGTAATTAAAACGAATCGTCCAAATGTCGTCATCTCGTTCCGCATCGTCCAGTTCATCATCATCATCAAAGTCTGAGAAAGAAAATCAAGATGAAACAATTGCATCCGATTTAGTTGTGACAAAATATAAAATGGCATCTGAAATAACAAATCGTGTTTTAAAAGAAGTAATGGATCGCTGTGTTGTTGGTGCATCGGTGAAAGACACGTGTATCTTTGGTGATAAACGTTTAGATGAAGAAACGGGAAAAGTGTTCAAAAAAGATAAAGATGTTAAAAAAGGAATTGCATTTCCAACATGTTTGAGTGCCAATAATTATATCTGTCACTTTAGGTTAGTGTCTGTATTGCGTTAGCAACGTTTGCTCGTTTAATCATGGTATTTTTGTTTTTTCTTTTAGTCCATTGATTAGTGATCCCGATTATATATTGAAAGATGAAGATTTAGTTAAAATTGATTTGGGTTGTCATATTGATGGGTTTGTAGCTGTGGTTGCACATACAATGGTGGTTGGTGCAACAAAAGAGAAAAAAATTAAAGGAAAAAAAGCTGATTGCATTTTGGCTGCCTATTATGCAGCGGAAGCGGCATTACGTTTAATAAAACCAAATGAACACAATTATACTGTTACAGAAACGATTGATAAAATTGCCAATGCTTATCATTGTAAACCTGTTGAAGGCACGTTTTCTAATTTGAGACATTCACTAGTATATGTATTCAACAATATTAAAGTGCGAGAAAGATCGTCGAAATAATGAGCTGCTGATGATATTTTAATATTGATCGCTTGATACTTTTTATGAGAACATTATATGTATTAGCTCAGACTGAGGGTCATCCCTTCCCCGTACATTATTAAAATATTTGCATTCAACCATTTGTTAAAATCATGTTTTGTTTATTTGTTAGGTATGATATCTTATCAGATGACGCGTGGTATCATTGACGGTGAAAAGCGTATCTATCAAAATCCAACTGAATCACAACGTCGTGACGCTTTTGAAAAACATGAATTTGCTTTGCATGAAGTGTATGCTGTTGACGTATTGATATCATCGGGTGATGGTAAACCGCGTGAATCTGATTTACGTACAACTGTTTACAAGAAAAAAGATTTAATCTATCAATTACGAATGAAATCCTCACGAGTATTTTTGTCCGAAGTTGAAAAACGTTTTTCGTTGATGCCATTTACATTGAGACATTTTGAAGATGAAAAACGGGCACGTATGGGAGTTATTGAGTGTGCAAAACACGATCTAGTGGAACCATATCCTATTTATCATGAAAAAGAAGGCGAATTTGTAGCAGAATTCAAATTTACATTATTACTGATGCCAAATGGACAATTGAAAATAACCGGATTGCCATTAGGTAAGCAAGTTAAAGATGTGAGAAAAAACTAAAAGCTCTTATATTTAGTCGACAGGTCATCTTTGCGTGCTTTTTATCTTTTCAAGTTAGATATTGCGTTCAGAATGCATCAATATTTATCTTTACATGTTTAGATGTGGATCTTTACGAATCAGAACATAAAATTCAAGATCAAGATATCAAACAGTTGTTAACAAGCACAGTAAAACGTCAACAAAAGAAAAAGAAGAAAAATAAAAAGCAAGGTGGAGCAGCTGCAGTGACCGAAGTAAATGCTCCTGCCGGAGCTGGAAGTGTCGAAGATAATAACAAAGACCAAAATGGTGTCGCTGTGGAAGCAAAGCAAGTTAAATCAAATGCAAAAGTGTCTAAAACTCCAACGACAGCTACGGCCACGGCAACAGCAAAATGAGAAAAATGGGAAATATTTAACCTGATTTTTGGCAATAATAACCACTACCATCATTAGATACAAAAAAATATATATATTTTACATTTTTTTTCTGACACATTTGGAATGTGTGTCGCTGTTTGTGATTGTTGTCATTTTCCAAGTGAGAAAACGATATTTTTTGTTTGTTCTTTTTTTTCTATCTGTTCTTTTTTTCTGATTTTTTTTCAGTGAGAGAAAGGACGCTTCGAAACGGTTACGTATCTACGGAGAGAAATAGAGATATTACACGATTTATCAGCTTTAGTCAGAAAGAGATAGAGAGAAAAAGATTTATAACTATTGCCAATTAACGGTAAAAAAAAAGCTTGAATTAATAAATAAACATCGGGTAATGTCTTGTTGTTTATTTATAATATTAAAAGAATTGAATAAAATGTTTCAAACAAATCTTAGTAACTAAATTTGATACAGTTACTATCATACAATGTGGCAAATAGCGTTTTTTAAAGACCAACTCCAATTTAATCGTATTTTTTAATTTATTAGTGAGAACTGCTTATCGTTAGAAGCAGAAAGCAAATGTGGATAGAATGTGTTGATTAATAAGTCTACGAAGTGCCTGATAAATCATTCACAATGATTCGATCCCAATATTTGACTTGGTTGTGTTTTCATACAACTTTAGAAGTAGCGAAAGGTCTTGCCTCTCTCGAAGCTATGTTGTCGTTTTCAACAATGAAAACTATAGGTAAGGAAAGACAACATTACAGTAATCTAAATTCAATAAGAAAATATGCTTTATTTCATTTTATTGACGATAGAAGTCTTGTTGAGTAAGGTAAGTAGTGTGACGAAATTTATTGAGCATTAAAATATATTAGTATACCGAGAGAGAGAGAGTATAATATCTCTTGATTAGGTGATAATTACTTGCTGTTATTATTTTTTGAAGTTGATTTTTGCTCTATAGTAGTCGTTCGTTTTTCAGATATTTATACTTTTGAAACTTTTTGTCCCATGTCAAATTTATTAGTAGAAGAAAATTCTTATCCATTACATGAAATCTATTCATTTGATGTTGAACGTTACTACGAGTTATTAAATTTGCTTGTAGAAATAAACTGTATTGGCGGACGACAGTATAGAGGAAGATTATATACAGTTGATCCAGTAACACAATGGTAAGTGCATACAATCAAGATGAAGATTGTTGTATTATATATCATCTTTGAAGTGAACATAAGTTCTCTCCATAACTACTCCTTATTTATTAGTGATAGTAACGTTGATTAATGTGAGATAATATTTCAGAATATACTAACGAGAAAGACTAGAATGCTAACTCTTTATTTTTTCATAAAGACAAAAAACTCTCTCTTTTATATATTTTTTTCGTTCTAGTTTAGTTTTATTTGAAATTGATGACAATAACAACAGCGCTCATGTTCACATTATTATGCACCCTGATATTATTGAATTAATTATTATAGATGATACTCCCATTTCCTCAGCGATATACGATCTTTATTTAAAATCAAAGAAGACGAATGCTATCACCGATCAAGTAACATCTTTGAATACTATCAATGCTGACGCAATTTCTGAACGTTTAAATAAAGTTCGAACATATTTAACATCAAAACGCATACCATTTCAAGAAAAAACTGAAAATCAACTTATCTCACTTGTAATTCATAATGTTGTCAATATTTTACCACCCTATACATCAGAAAGCGTGATTGGAACAAATGAAATTGTACTTAGTAGAATTAAAAATATAATTAAACAAATTGTATAATATTTTTTTGTATTTGTATTGTCACTATTTAACTGTTTAGAGTATGAGTCTCACTTTACTAGTGTGCATTGTGCTCATTTTTCTGAAAAATGTTTGCATTAGTAACGCAACTGTCGACACTTTTCACTTATTTAGTAAACAATATATCTGTTCAACAAATGAGTACCTTTGGCAATATTCTATATTGAGATTATTGTAGTACTTGTCAATACGAGAAGTTTCCCTGCTTGTCATTAGACATGTAAGCTGACATTTAACTAGAATGTGAATTATTGCTTGATTTTAATCTAAGAATCAAAGTACATAATGAAATTGATGAATTTGAAAATAGCCGTTTGTATTTTATCAGTTCATGTATCGATGTTTTTTATCTTATTTAGACTTGATTCTTATAACAAATGTGTTCTCCGGTTTCCCATTATCAATTAGCATTTAAAAATGTTCTATTACGTTCTCGATTATGTTCATATATTAATGAAACAACATTTTGTTTTAATCATCAACGTCCATATTCACTAACAGCATTCGTTCTAAAACAACTAAATAAACGTCGTATAACGACAACATCTAATACAACATTAGCTCAACGATCACATCAACAAAAAACAGCATCGGTAGTAACAAATTTAAAACAATTATTTATACCAATTGAAGTCAATCCAGTGATTACTCCACAACTTGAAATCCGTTCTTCCGATGCATCTTTGTCACAAAAATTAACTCAATCACCACAAACGGTAAATATTGGGCAAGAGTTAACCGGCACACAATTACAAAGAAGTATGTAATTAGGAATATCAAAAAAAGAATAATAAGATATTTTCTTTTTTGTTTTTCAGATGATTTAGTACGAATAATTACAGATTTTTATCGTCATGATGAAATCAAAAAATTAGCTGCTGATAATGGATTGGATAGTAAGTGACGATATAGCATTTGTTTACAATGTGCAGATATTTTTCAAAATGGCAAACGGCAATATCTATTTTTAGTTCGATTATTTCAAGATGCTTATGTTAGTTTTCGAAAATTTTGTATACAGTCAACTGTGTTACCGGTTGATTTACACGTTGTACTCAGTGATATTCTATCGAATGCTGGTAAGTCTATCAGTTTTATTGTCATTTGAATCTCAATGATGTTTTCTTTTGTAGGGCATGTAACAGATATATTTCCCTATTTTTTACGTCATGCAAGAGAAATGTTTCCACATTTAACATGTATGGATGATCTGAAACAAATTAGTGATCTAAGAGATCCAGCTAATTGGTAAGAAATGTAACAAACTATTTATTTGATTATTGAAACAACCTGTAGGCTGCAAGAAAAACTTATTTGTATCGTCATAATACTTAATAATAATTCTTTTCTTGTAGGTATCCCGATGCACGCGCTATTCAACGAAAAATTATTATTCATTCTGGACCTACCAACAGTGGCAAAGTATGTCTCTTCCATTTTATTTTATTTTAATTAATATATCTTATTTTATTTAACTATATAGACCTATCATGCACTTAAACGATATATGGAAAGTGAAAGTGGTGTCTATTGTGGACCATTGAAATTATTAGCATCTGAAGTATATCATAAAACAAATGCTTTGGTTTGTAATTATTAGATATTTATATTTTATTGGAAAGTATATTTGTTATTGTTTACAATCAATAGGGAACAAAATGTGATCTAGTTACTGGTGAAGAGAGACGTTTTGCTGATCCTGAAGGAAAACCAGCTAATCATATTGCATGTACTGTTGAAATGGCAAATTTACAAACATTATGTAAATAATTTTTTCGCGGTTCACTTCTAATGTTACATCTGTTGCTATCATTTTATTCTATAGATGAGGTAGCTGTTATTGATGAAATTCAAATGATGCGTGATGCACAAAGAGGGTGGGCATGGACAAGAGCACTACTCGGTAAATTAATTGTTTAACCTCTTGCCAAGTTAGTTTAACTACTCATACTATGATCTGTCGTTGTAGGTTTACGTGCTAAAGAAATTCATCTATGCGGTGAAGCATCGGCTATTAATCTTGTGCAAGAATTAATGGTTACAACGGGTGATGAAGTGGAAATTAGACAATATCAACGTTTAACAAAATTAACTTATTTAGATAAAGCAATCGGTACAAAGTTAATGTGACCGAGAACATAGTGAATTATTTACTATCGAGATGAGGGAGTCACCAGCTCTTAATTTTGGTTTTACTAATACAACCCCCCAAAAAAGTTGCTAAACATGTTCTGGTCTTTAATCTTTTGTTAAAGTCAGAATATTTTTAGTTCATTTGGTAGCTGAATGAGATTTCGAGAGGTTTGAGTAAGAATCATGTTTCATTCAAAAACGCTATCATCGAACTGCTCTTGATATATACTTTCTCAGATAGTAATTTGATAGTTGAAAATATTGTTATTATAAAACTGTTTTGAGTTTAGTATTAATTCACTATCGTATTTTAGTTATTTAGAAACATTTGATAATGTCAGACGTGGCGATTGTTTTGTATGCTTCAGTAAAAATGATATATTTCATATTACCAGAGAATTAGAACGACGTGGACATGAAGTAGCGGTTATTTATGGATCTTTACCACCAGGTAATAAATTTTAACAAAAAAATAGATGATTTTTTGTTATTCTTTATCATTTATTGTCAGGAACAAAACTATTACAAGCACAACGTTTTAATGATCCAGCTGATCCATGTAAAATAATGGTATCAACCGATGCGATTGGAATGGGATTGAATTTGTAAGACATACAACTATTTTATAAAAATTAAATGATTAACAGTTTATTTTTTGTGTTCTAGAAGTATTAAGCGTGTCATATTTTTCAGTATTGTCAAACCACAAATGAATGAAAAGGGAGAGAAAGAAAAAGATTCTATAACAACGTCACAAGCATTACAAATTGGTGGAAGAGCTGGACGGTATGTGAATAAAATCATTTAATGAATAAAAGAATTGAAATATGGATGCGTTTTTTCTAAATGATCTAGCCGGGGCATTGCATATAAGTGAAAATGACAAGTGAACGATGAGCACATATTCGTTATTTGTCCTTTTTTTATTTAAGTTATCTGTTGTTTTTTGCTTTCTATTGACCCATGAGCTCTTTTTTTCCATTGTTTCTGTCCAAAATTGTCAACGTGAGTGAATGAATTTAGCTGTTGGCTATTTTCATGTATCATAATGGGTGGCCCAGAATAAATGCCCCATTCAGTATTTCCCCTATAGCGCTTGGTCAAGGTCGATTGTCAAGTCACAGTCATTTTTTAAAAGATTCCTCATTCAATTCCCTACACAAAAAATATTGAACATTTCTTTATATACTATAAGAATTAAAAAAATATAGAGGAAATACGGGAAAACTTCAATATCGCTTAGTTTCACACCCAAAACGCGCCACCAAAAAATATTTATTTTGGATACGGTGCTATGCATCAAAGTGAAATCGAAATGTATGTTTCGTGTAGAGAATTGAATGAGGAATCTTTTAAAAAATGATTGAGACTTGACGATCAACCTTGACCGAGATATTGAGAAAATACTGAATGAGACTTTTATTCTGGGCTACCCATTAGTCTTTGTTATTAAATGCATGATGACTGAATATTCGTTCGTCAAGTATCATTTCATTAGTATGTTAAAAATGATCTCAGTGTAGTAGAAATAAGGATAAAAGAATACCTTATTTAATTACTATCTAAGTTCACTAAAAAAAATGAGGGTTTCGTTTCAGGTATGGAACGGCATTTTCTGATGGAGAAGTAACAACGTTTCGTCGCGATGATTTATCATTGTTTAAAGATATTGTTAGTCGACCAGTTGAAACTATCCAGGTAAGTCGTATTTTGCGCGATTTTTTTGCCAAAAAATAAATAAATAAAATTATTTTTGTTTTTCATTAGCGCGCTGGACTCCATCCAACAGCTGAACAAATCGAATTGTTTGCCTATCATTTACCCAAACATACATTATCAAGTTTAATCGTACGTTATTTCTTGATATTTTGCAAATTAGCTTAGCTTGCGTCTTTCTAGGATATTTTTATAACATTATCTCAATTAGACGATTATCTGTTTTTGCTGTTTTATCTTCAGACTCACTATAATTAACTAACTGTTTTTTAAGTTTATCCACGGCTCGTTGATTTAATAATCCCTTAGCAATCAATTGATCTATCAAATCTGCATTACTATCAAATACATGACCACGTGTTTCTGCTTGACTAAAAGAAAAATGAAAGAATATAAACAAATAATTAAATTATGTTAACAAATGTCAACTTTAGTACTATCTTACCATTTTAATGCATTTAAATATGATTGTAATAATCGATTAGAATTTATTGTTTGTGATTTTCTAGATGTTGTTGGTGTGATAGATGATTGTCTGGTGATGCGAGAAGTAGACCCAATGGCTGTTTCTTCTTCGAGTCCAATAATTGATCGTACAGATATTTTATTTTTGTCGTTAATAGCATCCTCAGTTATTGATGTTGACGTTGCTATTAGTTCATCTGAATCATCGTCTAAATGTTTTGTTCGATGAATTAATTTAACAATGTTTTGAATACCCAAATGTATAATTTGATCTAATTCAGCTTGAACACCACGCACAATCTCTTTCTCTGGAAATATATCCGTAAAACGATAACTAAAATGTAAATAATATTTAATAAAATAAAATAATTTTCGTCATTCTTCTTACCTTAACCACAGATAAAGATCTAGACAATCGAATACTTCTTCTAAATGTACTAAATCCATAATTGTATTCGGAGTTTGAAATGGATATTGCAATTGTTTAGCTAACCAATCGAATGTAGCTGGTTCACCGCGACTATACTGACGAGCATACTGAAGTACAAAAGGTGAGTGTGAGAGTCAAATTTTGCTTCTATTATCCTTTTCTGAAAACGAGGCGGCTCGGCAGAATGCTTATCACATTTGAACGAAAAGTCATAGAGACATATGATTTTCACCGTTGAATAGAGAACATCGGGGGACGTAAGCGTATGCAAAAACTAGGCTTCTGTGTAAGGTTTACCATGGTAAACCTTTCGATACAAAGTCTACGAGATCGCCGTTCCTGCACCATTCGATGGATTTCGATTTCCCAACAGTGCAATCGATAGCTCGAACCGAGATCTACAAATT